GTTAAATTCTATTCATTTAACAGGAAATTCAAAATAAAGCAACTACTTTCACCAATTTTAGCTCTTGACTCCTGGAACGTCTGCCTTCAGCATGACATACACTACACAGTGGTCATTCTGGGCACATCTATTCCAAACTTCTCAAGAGATGTCAGGGAAGTGTGGATGATCTGCTACCACCAATGCTATTGCTCAACGTGAGTAACTGAGCATAGAAAACAGTCTGATTCTCAGGTTGGATGAGGCTCACAGCCCCACGCCTCTCTTCAAAGTGACAAATGTATTGATGGAAAGGGTATCTGAAGAGTCAGAGTCCTTGGTCCAGGTGGACAATATTAGTAATATGTTAAAATGGAGAGCTCTAGAAAGGGCCTTGGGTAGTCAGTGGAGAGGAGGAGAAAGACAACAATCAGTCAGCATGTTATATACAAGAATGGCTTAGTCTAGAACTAAGAAGGCATGAGATACTGTACTTCCTGTCTTACTTTGGATTTGTGCTGAAAATACTCTGATAGGTGTTGAACGGAAAATTATATTTGTCATTTTAATAATAAAAAATCTGCCCATAGTTGACTTTTACTTTATTTTAAAAGTTATATAATCCTAATGTATGACCAAATATTTCTGGGTACTTTACATATGTCATTTTCAAAAATCATAACAAAGTTGCATTATAGGGATAATTATTTCCATTTTATCAGTGCTAAAATGGAGAGTCAAAGCTTATGAGCAAGTTCATACAGCAAACCAATGGGAGGCCCAATGGTCTGAGTTTTCTGACTTAAGTCTCTATGACTCTACTACAGCACAGGTTGAAGTTTATACAGTATCACAATGAAAGCAGGGTTGCCCCACCATACTCTACTTGAATCAGAAGTTGAAGCACACAAATATTGCTTAATGGTTTGCACCATTCCTTAAACCAGGGTACGTTTTGAAGCTGAAAAAGAGCCACTGAAAAGTATACCATAGGTGGAATGGCCAAAGGAACAATGGACGCTGAATTTTAGAAATGGAGAGACAGTGGACATACAATAGCTGTATTAAAACACTTTGACATGTTTATATAGTAAGATTATTTTTACTTTAAATAATGATGAAACAATTGTTAAGATTAAAAAGATTTTAATGATAGAGTTAGTAATAAAGGCAGTAAGGCCCCTAGCACCAGAAGAATTTAAACACAATGTAGATAAAATAAAGAAGAGATAGGATACATTTTTAATTGGTTCATTATGCCTCACAATTCAATCAAAGAAATCTGTCCCACCATTAGAGAAACTAAGTGATTACTTAATATAAAGAAATTTCTAAACCCTTTAAGGAATTAGATATTTTAAAGGCATTTAATACTGATACCTATCATTTCTGATAAATATTTAAAACTTTAAAAAGAGAATAAGTTAGTAGAAAACTGTTCAATGAAAATTATAAGTAACAAATCTTGAAAAGAAAATGCTAACACGACTCATGAAAAGTATGAAAAAGTAAGGAAGCATATGTAATAAGGGGATATATTTAGAAAAGTTATTATAGATGGTTTATACTCAGCTCTGGGAAAAATATTCTAAAGATTGTGACATATATTTCATACAGTATTTCAGTTAGGAATGTTACTCAGAAAATAGGAAACATTTGATTGACATTAAGTAAAATTTTTTTTTCCAAAGAAACCTTTTATTTGAGGAATACAGACTTCATGCATTTCATAATTATGACTGTAGGAATACAGAGATTCTTCCCACTGTACCCACTCTCCAACCCACACTCCCACTCCTCTTCCTCCTCCCTCATCCTTTCCCAGTGCTATTCTCTGCTAAGATCCATTTTCAATTAACTTTATACACAGAAGACCAACTCTATACTAAGTAAAGAGCTCAACAATTTGCACACACCCACCTTGTCTCAATGGTTGAGATAAGGGTTGTTTAAAGTCACTGCATCTCGAAGTTAATTTCGCTTTTTTTTTTTTAGAAAATTGACTTTAAAGAAGCACCCAAGAATGATACATCTTTTGTAAGCACTGAGACACAACTATAACTTATGAGACATAAGAATACTCTCCACTTAATACATTAAAAGAAAGTAAGTCCTTGAGAACAAGTTTTATCTTTAATTAAAAAAGCACCTAAGAAAATAAGCAACGGAGTTGGACACTTAGGCATAACTAAGACTTATGAGACATAAAAATATGCTTCACTTAGTACATTAAGTAAAAATTTAAATGACAAAATAGAATATAGAAAATGATTACAAATAAGTAAATACATATACCTCAAACTTAAAATAGTTATGAATCAAAATGGATTGTGAGGAATTAGTAAAGTTAAAGATTACAGGAGACTACCTTTACTTATTAAAGAATATGCAAAACAGTAAAAGAAAATATGTACAAAAAGGTTTTGTAAATCTGTATACCTTACCTAGAGGAATTTTTATTTAGCTTATTTAGCAAAAGTTAATGGAAAACAATAATGTACATGAGTGAAATTTTCAGATCATGAAATATTCCTTAGTGTTTTATAATATTTGACAATGTCAGATAATGAAAAATGTCAGATAATTTTCATATATTGATTTTCTGATTCTTTTAAGTTTCTTTTCTAATTGTGACAATCTCTAGTAGAGTTGTAATTTGTGTCTTTATTATTGATTATTATTTATTAACTCTCCCACTCTTAGAATTGCTTCAAACACGGAACTTTGCCTCTGTCCTTTCAGAATAGGAAAACATGGAGAAGGCATTCTGTAATCAAAATGCAACCACAATTTCAATAGATCAGTAAGCCACAGGGAACACTTCAGTTTAGTATTATCCCAATTACAAATCATGGAAATAAACTTCTCTTGGACCACAGATCATACTTCTTTTGAATTACTGCCTTAAGGAAAATAACTAGGAATGAAATTATTAAATTGTCATATTTTATTATTTTATATTCCATATGCCACATCCTATTTGTGGACTCACTAGTTTTAATAGTAAAGATTGGTGAATGGCTAATTGCTCAAAAATAATGGCAATTAATTAAATTCAGTTCTACTCACTCAATATATTATCATGAAGATCTCAAAAACTGTATTAGGAATTACGTGATAAAATTTTTATATTGAACCATAAAGTCAAAACAGCAATACTGCAAACTAATTACAATGTGATAAAAAGTGTAATATATCCAGAGGGGAAAAGTTTATGGAAGGAAGTGCACCAAATTTCTAAATTTTTATATTTTATTTATTTTTTATTTATTTGACAGAGTTAGAGAGAGACAGACAGAGATAAAGGTCTTCCTTCTGTTGGTTCACTCCCCAAATGGCCGCTACGGCCAGAGCTATGCCGATCCGAAGCCAGGAGCCAGGTGCTTCTTCCTGGTCTCCCATGCGGTGCGGGCGCCCAAGCACCTGGGCCATCTTCCACTGCCTTCCCAGGCCAAAGCAGATTGCTGGACTGGAAGAGGAGCAACCGGGACTAGAACCCGGCACCCATATGGGATGCCGGTGCCACAGGCGGAGGATTAACCTAGTGAGCCATGGCACCGGCCCTAAATTTTTATTTAATTGAAAGGCAGAAAGAGAGAGAGGAGAGGGGAGGGAAGGAAGGAGAGAGATTATTACATCTGCTGGCTCATTTCCCAAATGTCAATAATATCTGGGAGTAGGCTAGACTAAAACTAGGAGCCTAGAACTCAATCTGAGTCTCAACATGGGTGGCAGTGACCCCAGCACTTGAACTATCATCTGCTCCCTTCCAGGATGCATATTATCAGGAAGCTGAAATCAGGAGTATATCTGGGACAGGAACCCAGGCACTTTAATAAGGGATGTGGGTATCCCAAGAGACATCTCAGCTGCTATGCCCAACATCTGCCCCAAGTTTCTAATCATGGACATGTGTGACAGCAACCAGAATGGAGAGGGTTACTTCTTTGGAATTTTCAAGTGTTTTTTAACCAAGAATGTTAAATAAATTTTACTTAAAAACCAAGTAAATCATCACGTATATTACCATTTCAGCACTTTTCATAAACTAATACAGTTTTCATCATCTCTCTTCTCTATGAAGGCTGTATCATGAGAGACAAGCACAACCAGACACAGGGGAAACACCTGGAAACATACTGTACACTGCGTTAATGAAATTAAGTTTCATCATGAAGGCTTGAGACAGCCTTGGTAGAATTAAAGGAATCCTTTTGGAACTTCCGTCTTTTGCTCTAGGAACAGATCACTCTGGCACATGATTATAAGTTAGAAGGGGATAAGAATGATGGCAGAGAGTTAATCAGATAAGTAAAATAAAGAGACAAAATTATCAGGGCCTCTACTAAAAAAGGGATACTGTGAGTGGAAACGAGGAGACAGAGAGATAAAATTAGAAGCTGAATTACAGATGGAATCAACTGGATTTTATCAGATGTAGTATAATGGGAAGAAGGTATCTGAGAGGATCCCAAAGTCAAGACCTAAGAGGCTGGGTAGATGGTGGTGTCATTCCCCAGATATGCGATACAGCAGTTGTTAAAGTGATGATATTTGGGCTGGTGCTGTGGCTCACTTGGCTAATCCTCCACCTGCGGCACCGGCACCCCAGGATCTGGACCCAGTTGGGGCAACAGATTCTGTCCTGGTTGCTCCTCTTCCAGTCCAGCTCTATGCTGTAGCCCAGAAAGGCAGTGGAGGATGGCCCAGGTGCTTGGGCCCTGTACCTGCATGGGAGACTGGGAGGAGGCACCTAGCTCCTGGATTTGGATTGCGCTGGCCGCAGCAGCCATTGGGGTGTGTGTGTGTGTGAAGCAATGGAAAAGGAAGACCTTTCTCTCCGTCTCTCTCTCTCACTGTCCACTTTGCCTGTCAAAAAAAAATTTAAAAACATTTAAAAAAAAGTGATGATGTTTGGTGTGGAAGAGCCTGTTTGAGTTATTTGGGGGTTTTCCAACTGGAGCATCCCAAGAGTTAATTGAAAATATGAATCTGAACAATGGGAGATATCTGCAGAAAAATCAAGTTTTAAGAGACATTTTGTCTAAGTATTATATGAAGAGAGGAATAAAACTAATATCTCAGAAAGTGAGGCTCACCCATGTTTTTTCATAGAAAAAGAGAGAGACAAAACCCAATCCTGTGGAACACTGATATTTACAGGTTAAGCAAAGAAAATAGCCACTGTAAATAAGTATGAGGAACAACCAATGAAAACCAGCAATAAAAGAAATGAATATTGACATCTCCCCCAGCAGGAACAAGTCACAGAGGAGATGGAGGTTGGAAACCACAGCACTGTGACAGAATTCATCCTTGTGGGGTTGACAGAGGACCCTACACTTTGTGTCATCTTCTTTGTGATGTTTCTAGGAATCTATGTTGTCACTTTAGTAGGCAATGTCAGCATAATCACTTTAATAAGAAGCTGCTCCCACCTTCACACCCCCATGTACCTCTTCCTCAGCCATTTGGCTTTTGTGGACATTGGGTATTCTACATCAGTCACACCTATAATGCTTATGGGATTCCTTGGTCATGGAATAGTTCTTCCTGTCATTGGCTGTGAAGCCCAGCTCTATTCTGTGGTGATGTTTGGGACAGCTGAGTGCTTCCTGCTGGCTGCCATGGCCTATGATCGTTACGTGGCCATCTGCTCACCCCTGCTCTACTCCACCCACATGGCCCCTGGAGTCTGCACTGTCTTCGTGGCGGCCTCCTATCTGGGTGGCTGTGTGAATGCTTCCACGTTTACTAGTTCTTTATTGAGCGTTTCCTTCTGTGGACCGAATCAGATAGATCACTTTTTTTGTGATTTCTCCCCCTTGTTGAAACTTTCCTGCTCAGATGTCTCCATTACTGAAATTATCCCTTCCATCTCTTCTGGCTCCATCATCGTGGTCACAGTGTTTGTCATAGCTGTCTCCTACATCTGCATCCTCATCACCATCTTGAAGATGCACTCCACAGAGGGGCGCCACAAAGCTTTCTCTACCTGCACCTCTCACCTCACTGCAGTCACTCTCTACTATGGGACGATTACCTTCATTTACGTGATGCCCAAGTCCAGCTACTCACTTGACCAGAACAAGGTGATGTCTGTGTTCTACACGGTGGTGATCCCCATGTTGAACCCCCTCATTTATAGTCTGAGGAACAGAGATGTAAAGGAGGCTCTGAGAAAGAAAATTGTCAGAATATATTCTTAGGATCCACTTCTTGAATTTAAGATGAACTATCCAGTTTTCATTTACCTGTATCACACTTAGTTCCTACCGCATGCTGCTTAACTAATTGCTTAAATTATAATCATATTTGTTTGTGCTAATTCACCTTAATAAATTTGTATTTCAATTAGGAAATGTTGTGACATCTGAAACAATGACAGTAATAATTACCACTATTGTTGTAGATACCAAACACTTTTCCTTTACTTAACAAATAGTAACTTGCACTTACTATGTGCCAGGTCCCCCCCCTTTTTTTAAAAAAGATTTATTTATTTATTTAAAAGTCAGAGTTACACAGAGAGAGAAGGAACTGCAGAGAGAGTGAGAGAGAGAGAAAAGTAGTTTATAAATACTAGACATTCAAAACAATGCAGCTATCCTAAAAACAGGCAGAACAGATGTCTGAATTTCCCCTTTGCATACTGAGAGATTATAGTTTACTTTCCACTTATGGTCAGTAGAGGTGCAGTCACATAGTAAATCCCCACAACCTTTCCAGGGCTTTTTTCTCTTGTAGTTATGAACATGGCATTGAGAGGGATATAGAACCCAAGAAGATGTTCTTTCAGTTTTGTTGGATATAGTTCAGTTTAATATAATAGTTTACTGAGTATTTTTGTGCTAGACACTGTGCTGATACAAAACACAAAACCACTGTCTGACCTCTCAACACTTACTATATTGCATACAATCTATGTATTCACTATAGATAATCTCAGAGTAACTCAGTACTTACAAATGCAACGAGGAACAGTATTCCAAAGGTAGGGAGAGAGTAGTATTTTTCTCAGCCAGGATTATAGTATAAAACTTTCTGGAGAATAAAGCACTAAAGCTTAGTCTTACAACTAAATGAAGCAAGGTAAGGGCATCAGAAAAGTATTCCAGGATAAGAGGCAACACAGAAATGGCATGTAAGAATGAAACGATAGGATATTTGAGGAATTGAAGTCTTTCAACATTTATGAAGCCTTAAAAATGGACTGAGAAGTAGTGATAGATGCTGTCAAATGGAAGCAGTTCATGAAGAACGATAAGTTTCACTTTAAGGTGTATTTTATCCCATGAAGAACTATACATTGGCTTTAGCAAAGAAGTAAAAATGGTTAGATGTATTCAGATCACTTTGACAAGAAAGTGAAGTTTGCCAGAAGATAAATATTCAAATCAATTTAATATAAAAATAAAAAATATATAGAGAGAGCAGCTTTGAGAAAACTTAGAATTGGCAGAAACTGTTGATTGTAAGATGTGGGAAATCAGAAAGAAGGAATATTCCAGGGTGACTCCTACAATTCCAATTCAAGTGAGTAGGTGCGGTTACTGGGAGCAGTCCACTATCAGAAGTCCTGAGGTAGATTAGGGAAAAAAACAGACTATACTAGGGTAGCTGTAAAATCTGTTATCACTCACACTGTGCCCACTGCTATCCTAAGAGCAGACATTGTAAGATGCAGAGCCCAGCTAAAAGAAAAAAAAACTGCTTAAATCTACAGGTTCCTATTCTGGAATCTTTTAATTCAATCCTACATTTCCTACCCTGCTTCTTCCTCATAACAGACATTCACAAGTAGGGATATTTTTACTTTTCTCTCCTGAGGTACTATTCCTGGTACTTTTGGTAAGTATCACCTACTGTCAGCTAAAAATTTCAGATGCACCCTGACTCCTTTGACATCTTAGTTACATAAACTTGAATTATGTGAATTCTTCAGTCCTGGATATAAAGATCAGCCTTCCTATAGACATTTTAGACTCATATCTTGGAGATCAGAGTTTTCAAGGGTCTCCTGTACTTTAACTCAGGTATTGGCTCTGGTAGTGGAAAATTAACTTAAGTCAAAGACCAGAGACAAAGACTTATTTCCAGATGTGTTAAGAGTAGTATCTCCTTCTTGCCATGTTTATGAATAATTTAGAAAGAAAGTGGTGAAGTAGGTTTCAAACATAAGTGATTTCTGCCTCAAATTCTATGAGGAACATTTTATCAAGTCTCATAAGTTGTTTTATAGGCCAACAAGGAACAATCATGTATCCGTGCATTTCAAAGGGTCAGGCATGTCATCTCATGGTTGATTTTCACCTGTCATATCACAGTGCCTGGATTTGACACTCTGCTTCAGCTTCTGACATCAACTTCCTGCTAATGAATACCCTGGAGGACAGTGATGATGGCTCAAGAGTTTGGATGCCTACCATTTATGAGTTCCCTGATTTCAGCCTGGCCCAGCCATGACTATTGTAGGCATTTGGGAAATGAATCAGAATATGGAAGCAAGCTCTCTCTGATTCTCAACAAATTCTTGAGCTTTCATTGTATCCTGGGAACTGAGCAAACATTTAAAGTGCTTCTATGAGGGACCAGTGCTGTGGTCTAGTGGGTTAAATCTCTGCCGGCAGCACTGGCAGCCCATATACGTGCTGGTTCAGGTTGGCTGCTCCACTTCTGATACACCTCCCTGCTAATGGCCAGCAAAAGCAGAGGAAGATGGCCCAAGTGCTTGGGCCCCTGCACTCACATAGGAGACTCAGAAGAAGCTCCTGGCTTCTGGCCCCGGATAGGCCCAGCTCTACCATTGTGGCCATTTGGGGAGTGAACTAGTGGATGTAAGACCTCTTTGTCTCTCCCTCTGTCTATAACTATGCCTCTCAAATAAATAAATAAATAAAGCTTTTTTTAAAAAAGACACTTTTATGAGTAGAACAGAACCCTCATGCAATTTAGATTTTTGTGGAATACACACTAGAGATTAACTAAACATCACAAATGCAGAACATGATAAGCACTGTGGAAGAAACAAACCAAAGGAATTGTTATTGGGTCACTTAGTGATATAGAGATGGCACCTGGGTATATCTAGAGAGTCCACTTTGGTTTCATTCAAATGCCCAATTCCATAGATAACTTTACGGCAATCCCCACTCTCTGAGACTCTTTCCTAAAGGTCTTATCAGCAAGGTAGTTGAATTTATTCTATAGCTCAGTATGCCAATAACAAGTATTTCATGTGACTAAAAAAGAAACTGAAGGCATTTCATGTTACCTAGCTTCAGGAAGCCCAGAGCATCTTTTCTACCCTCATCTACTGGTAACCTAAATTACTAGCTCCAGTTCAGATTCAAGGAGAAGGAAATTAGATTGTATTTCTCAAAGGGAGAATTAGCAAAGATGTTGTAGCCATCTCCAGCCTACTGCAATTTCTCTGGCCACAATTATTTATATGCTTCTCATGTGCCAAAATGCATTTACAGTCTCCCACAATCCCATAAAACATGCTATTAGGAATCAATACTGGCCGGTGCCGTGGCTCAATAGGCTGATCCTCCACCTTGCGGCGCCGGCACACCGGGTTCTAGTCCTGGTCAGGGCGCCAGATTCTGTCCCAGTTGCCCCTCTTCCAGGCCAGCTCTCTGCTATGGCCCGGGAGTGCAGTGGAGGATGGCCCAAGTCCTTGGGCCCTGTACCCCATGGGAGACCAGGATGAGCACCTGGCTCCTGCCATCGGATCAGTGCGGTGCGCCGGCCGCAGCGCGCCGGCCGCAGCGGCCATTGGAAGGTGGACCAACAGCAAAAGAAGGACCTTTCTCTCTCTCTCTCTCTCTCTCTCACTGTCCACTCTGCCTGTCAAAAAAAAATTAAAAAAAAATTTAAAAAAAAAGAATCAATACTGAGTCTATCATCACAGGATTGAAATTAAGTTCAAGCATGATTGTTTGAGCACAACTCCTTAAAAATAGTCACTTGATCCAAGGTCAAGTGAAATAAAGAGAAAAGTCATTTGCTCTTATACAACTGACAACCGTTGAGACAAGGGTATGAAATCTGCCATAAATAGTCACATTCATAAGGGAGAATATAGAAATTATACAGCAATCATTGGCTCAAAGCAATTCCAAAATCTAACTTGATACACATTGCTGTTTCATTGATCAGGGCCCAGTCTTGCTCCCTTTTTGTAAATCTCTGTGTTTCTTGGCTCTGCCTTCTGGGTTGTTGGTTCCATCCTTTGAATAAGCCTTCCATTTCCAGGAAAAAAGGCCATGTTATACTTGAGTAGCTTTCTTGTCTATTTACTAATCACTGTAGATTGAAAGTTGAAAGATCTCTTTTTAATTCACACTATCCCTAACTCCTTTAAACAACACTCTATAACTTCCCCAAAAACATTATGGGATTCATCAGTGACATTTCTAAACTATTAACTATAGTAATATCATTTGACCTAGAAATTTCACTCCTAGATATATGCCCAAGAGAAATAAAAATATGTCACACCAAAATATCACAAATTGTTTTAGGTCATTCATATGAAATGCCCATATATAGAGAGACAAAAAGTACACTAACGGTATTTAGTGACTAGGGGAATAGGTGCATGTGAGCTGATAATAAAAGGATACACGACTCCTTTTATGAGGTTCTAAAAATATTCTAATATTGTGGAGAAACTCACAAACACCTGTGGATATACTAAAATCCACTGAATTGTATAACATAAATGTGTGAGCTGTAATGATATGTAAATTGTATCTCAACAGAGCTATTAAAATATTTTGGGGTTTCCTGTGTATCATATCATAATTTATTGAATTAGACAAAAAAAAAACACCTAAATCCATTATGTAAATCTATTTAGATAATTCTTTTTCTGGAGGCTCGTGAGGTTATTGTGAGAACCCCTTGAGATTTTATTAACATTTTTTTAAAGAGAGGCTCACTGAGCCATGCCATTAGGTTTATTAAAAGCATGTAGTCTAGTTGAAGGGATGAATGAAGCCTTAAATCTTTTCAGGGTCTAAGCAAATGATCTCACAGCATCAATCTGGAGTTGACATTTGACGTGAAGCCATTTTGTCCCTAGAGAATCTTATTTTCTGGAAGAGACTAAGGACGAAAATAGCCTTATTTTCAAATACAGCAAGATCTAGCTTCTGTAGATTTGTTTTCTATATTTTTTTCAAAAACTAACCAAATTCTTCTTTAGTTCATTGCTCTCTTGGTATATTTTATAATAGGCACCTAGCCGGTAAGAAGCCTGGAAACAGTTTCTACAATCTTCCCGAGAACCTTCCCATCTAGATCCAAAAGAATATTAGAGAGCCTTTCTACTTTCCATTTTATCACAGGTGACAACATTGTCAAACTTTTCATCAGTATTCAGTAACT